AACTCTCGTTAAACTATCCCTCAATTTTTGGGAAGGGAACAGCGTGGATCCCACCAAGTCCTTCATAGCCATAGCGGATTGCTACGCTAGTAAAGCCTGACTGACTCAGAAATCTCTTTGGCTGATTCTCCAACATCTACCTAGACTCCCAGAACCAGCTAAGTCATAGCCCAGCTATCAAGGAAACAGACGTTTAGCACGCAGCACGTTTATTCAGTACGCATATTGTGGATAAAGTGTACACGTAGGGAGCTCAATCACGATCAGGATGGGGGGATTAGGTTAAACAAACAGAGGTTGATGATTGATCACTGTTTGTACGGTCGCACCTCGCAATCATGGCGTGCAGGCATGCAATGACGTGTCCCACATAGCCCCCCCCCCACCCAAGACGATTTAAGAATGTAAATTTAGTTGCCTTGGCACAGTAGACTGAATTTTGCAATGTCCACTCAAATAAATACATATCATTGCCTAATTTTTACTCCTATCTTTAACTTAAGTTGTCATATATAAAAGCATTACTTTAAATTCAATTCTCATCCGAGCTGGTTTTTAATATCGAAATGATCGACTCACCTGCAAGTAGAGAAATTGCTGCGGCTTTAGATTTAATAAAAGACCCTTCAAACGAGATTCTGGAGTGTCGTTATTGCACTGAAAGGTGCCTGTATCTTTCAATTAAATGTGAACCCGAACTTTCATTTTTGCTGTTTATTCCTGTAAGTTGGCATATTATAAGCAATTAACAATGTTTTAGGTTGAGTATCCATCCGAGAAACTGAAGATTTGTCAACTTTCCGAAGGCGTCACTATTGGCGACATTAAAAAGAGCATCTATAATATAAGTGATGCAGTTCTAATGATTATGACAGTTGTTTGTACTGAATTTAAGAAACCAATACCCCGTTTGGCGGTTAAACAAAACCCTGGTTTGTATCTAGAATGGATGTTTGATTTAATCAATATTGGAGCTGTTAAAACCTCAGAAGAGTGAAGGCGTTTCAATAAAGAATTGTGAATGTTTTATTTTATTTTCTCTTATCCCATTAACTCACCCTCTTTTCTACATGAGGTGCGGAGGGGCAGGATAGCTGAGACAAAGTGAATTGTGTAATCTAAATTCTACATTGGTGCACATCTTCAAGTAATGTAACTTGTACTGCACTGTTTTCCAACCAACTAATATTGGTAAATCTACTACCTCGTCTTGAGAATTAGTATAGATTTCTTTGAAAAATCGAAATATCATTTCCTAGTCCAGTTTTGGGTTGATAGGATTGGAGCTTAAATTTTAGGACAAATAAATGAAAATTTATATTGATATTGGTTTGTATGAAAGGAATTTGGCTTTTATATACGTCTTTTTCACACCGCGGTTCGACTTCGTATTTCTAACTTGAACACTACTTGGGGATTCATTTTATCTTGCAGTATCTACCATTCTTGTACAGACTGTCATGTGTAGCGGCTTACATCATCAACAAGCCTTGAATTTACTCGGCAGATTCGAACATATTTAGAAAGGCACTCAGAATTAGCTAAGCTACAGCAGAGTTATGGAGGAAACAGACGTATGACTTGGAGTACATTTATTCGGATGATGTTATGTATTGGACTGCGGTGTGCGTGTGTGGTGGAAATGTTGTTGTTGACTAAAGAGAGCTTAGTCATTATGCACACTTTCGGCTATGATAACCAGGTAATTGGTCGAGAGGTCTTTGCGCTCGTGATTGTAATGAGGCAAGCGATGCTTGGAAATATTTGGACGCGCATGCGCACCCCTCCTTCAGCCATTCTGGTGCTGTGTTCCCCACAGATGGGAATGCTATTATCAAGACGAAAAGTTAGGGAACAATTTCGCTAATAAAACGAGCATCTTCTAACGATGTGAACAGTAATTAGCTTTAAATATTAGTCAATTGATTTTTTCATGAAATCTCAATCAGGTAAATATCTCTTAGTTAATTTTTGGCGCCATTTTTCTAACCAACTTTTCTACCTGGGAACATTAATTTGTTATGACTTTGCACTCAAGTCATTAATAATTTTGAAATATAATTTCTCGTATTTGTTTGTTTAAAGATGCTGACAAATTCCAATTGTCAAGGCATCTTGTTTGTATCTTATAATCAAACAACTTTCCTGCATATTCCGATGACTTGATATATTGAAGTGACTCCAAAACTTTTTCTTTTGAAATATCAAGGTTAACGATTTATTCTCACAATTTTATTTAAACATTATATTGCAAACGCTAATTCCTCATTACGATTTTTTTGGCTAGCGTAGTTATTGAAGACAATACGAACTTTCATTTTACTGATTGTTGGAGATGGGCAATAGTTTTCTTAGTGATAAAAATTGATGTTCTCAAATAGTCATGGTTACTGTTCTTTTGCAATGTTATATCTTTTAAAGATCCATTTTATTACAAGATACCGATTGGGCGGAGGATGATGCGTTTACAATAAAATTTTTTCCATTAAGCAGTGTCAAAATAAATTCTTTTAAATGTGCATAACATAAATAGGAATTGACATGCGAAAAGGAAATAAGCGTAACGCTGAAGTCGATGTGCAGCAAAATCTGGAACGCGTTTTTAAGAATCAGAGATTGTGGGGAGGGGGTGCGCGATAGACTTATCTCCACGTGGTACGCTCTGGGAAACATTTACTCATGCTCAATAAACGTCAATAAATTGGCAGTTGACCTCTCGCTTCAAACTACCATGACACCACTGTATGTCATATTTGACCGCTTTCACGGTGCTCATCTTACCCTTTCTCTGCCTTTGTCCGTCACTACATCTGTAAATCACTCTTCTGCCCCCCCCCTTCTCCTCGACTCCGTGACTTTGATGGGCCTTATCTCCGTGAAGCCCGAAGTCAACTAAAGGGCTAGTGATAAATATCCTAAATCCTGCCATTTGATATACATGATTGTGGGGAGCGATTAATGATTTGTGAGTAGTATGAAGTGCCGATATTAAGCAGTGAGTTGAAACTTCTCAGCCGAAGTATTGTTTGTTTAGGTATGAACACTGGCTTTTGCAGGACCGCCAGAGGAGACATGAGAGATAACTCCACAAATGCCATAGTTGGTAAGATCCCCTATAATTGATCGATTGAGGTTGCGGTGAAAAGAGTTGCCGTATTTGGGAGACGAATTTGACGTAGTATATTCTCTTAGCAACTCATTTAGTGGAGAATGAATATTATGCAATGTTTGGGGGAAATATACTTTAATAACTGGTGAGATGCAATAGAGGGGGATGGAACGTGATGTGGTAATGTCGCACGCTGTGGAATTTCGGTAATTGCTCGAAACTTTTCTGGGTCCAGAAGAGAGTCATTTTCATCAGAGTAACAGTCTAAGTACCTAAGAAAGGACTTTAAGGAAGT